CACCAGAATTACTGTCCCAGTAATTGACTTTGATCTGGAAAATTATGATGAAAAACCAAAACAAATTAAGCAAAAAGGTAGGAGAAAGTCCAAAAAATCCAGATCACCATTCATCTCAAACCTCCAAAGAGAGGCTAAGAAGAAATTGAAACCAATTAGGGATTTACTGAAGGACGAAAAATCATCATTCAGCAATTTGTCAGAGTTACTCCAGGCTTGTAACATGACCAAAGAAGAGTACATTGGCCACGTTGATGCTCTCACTTCTGGAATGGTGGTAATGATGAAACGTGATCCTAAAGATAGTTGGGTGAATGGGTACAACCCTGATCTTTTGCGTGCGTGGAATGCCAACATGGACATTCAGTATGTGCTTGATGAGTACAGCTGCATTGAGTACATGATGTCCTACATAGCCAAGCCAGAGCATGAAATGGCGCAGTTCCTCAAATCTGTTGTTGACGATTTAAAGGGGACCAATGTTAGCGAACGCGATGAAATGAAAAAGATTATGCAGGCTTATTCAAAACAGAGAGAGGTTAGTGCTCAAGAATCGGTTGCGCGCACTTGTAGCCTACCCCTCAAAAAATCCTCGCGTAGTGTTCTTTTTCTTCAAACAGATGAAGACGGTGTAAAAATGAGCCTTCCAATGAGTAAACTCGTGAACATGTCTCCAGATGAGGAAAATGTGTGGATGGCAGGATTGCCAGAAAAATATCTAAACAGACCAGAAACGTTAGAATTCGAACACATGTGCCTGGCAGAATTTGCGTCAGAATACCGCGTTTTATATGGCAATCAAATTCAAGGGCCAAATGCAATTCCCCTACTTAATGATTCAGGATTCATCCAGAAAAGAACGATGGGCAAACCTGCAGTTATCAGATTTACTCGTTTCTCAGAGAAAAAAACACCCGAAAAATTTTATAGACGGCTTCTAAAGTTATATTGTCCACACAGAAGAGATGAGGACCTTAAAACTGAGGAACACACAACCTACGAAGCGTTTTACAACAACGGTTTCCGTGGTAGATATCAGGTTAAAAAGTATGTGGATTTCAACCGCAAAAGGTATGAAGGGCAGGGTAAAAAAATTGACAAAATTATGGAAGAGTTGAAAAAGCAAGGACCGGTTCGTAATGCTTGGAACACTTTTGCGCCAGAGGTTGAATTGGACAATTTAGAATGCGCTGCTGATCGACCACCAATCGAAGAAGATGAAGAGCAAGACCCTATTCCAGATTACGAAATTGATGTCAATTCTGGAGACATGCCAAAAATTGAAGCTCCAAAATTGAGCCCTGATTTCATCAGACAAATGTACAGGAGTTTAAACGAGACTCAAGCATCTGTGTTTTACGCCATTCGCGATTGGTGTCTGAAGCGCGTCTGGGGTGACAACCCAGAACCTTTTTTTTATTTCTTGACGGGAGGAGCTGGCTGTGGCAAATCTCATGTCATCAAATGTGTTTACCAGGAGGCAACCAAGCTCTTGCGCCAGCTTCCTCGACTTCTTGATATTGGTGACATCTCCAAGCCCACTGTGCTCCTCACAGCTTTTACTGGTACTGCTGCGTACAACATATCGGGAAAGACTTTACATTCCATCTTGAAACTACCCAAAAGTTTAAAACCACCATACAGCGGTCTTGGAAATTCATTGGATGAAGTGAGGGCAGTTCTTTCAAGTGTGGAAATCTTAATCATTGATGAAATCTCCATGGTCTCCAAAGACCTGCTTGCATATGTTCACTGGAGATTTCAACAAATAAAGGGGAACAACAGGTTCATGGGTGGGGTCTCTGTTCTGGCTGTGGGAGACTTCTTCCAACTTCCCCCCCTTGGACGAGCAAAACCTCTTTGTGTCGCCGAGGACGGCATGCTTGATATCTGGAATGAAAATTTCCAGATGATCAACCTGACCGAAATCATGCGGCAGAAAGATGACAGAGCATTTGCAGAGCTCCTGAACCGGATTAGATGTAAAGGTAAAACTGATTTGCTTAGTGACGATGACAAGAATCTTTTGATTCAAGCTGTTACTGAGCCCAAAGAGTGTCCTATGGATGTCCTACACATTTTTGCAACAAACAAACAGGTGGACACCCATAATGCAGCAGTTGTGGCCTCTTTAGGTGTAGTAACAGTTGATATCCAGGCAGAGGACTACAAAAGAATTACAAAGACCGGAAACATGATTAACCTGGGCTGTTGCATAGCTGGCAACAAGCGAGACCTGTCTAACAACATACAGGCTGGTTTGGGTTTTAGGGTGATGATTATAAGAAACTTGGATGTAGAGGATGGCCTTGTCAATGGAACATTTGGCACCATAGCTGATATTGTCACCAGTACCAAGGATGGAAAGACTAGTGTTAAGTTAATTGGACTTAAATTGGACAATCCCATAGCTGGACACAAAAAAAAGATTCAGGGTAAACCAGACGGCTTTGTTTATATTGAGAGATTTGAGGAACAGAGTAGCGTAAAGGGAGTGGTACGACGGCAATTTCCAATTAGGTTAGCCTTTGGTTGTACAGCACACAAAGTCCAAGGAATGACTATGAAGTCTGCCGTCATTTCTTTGAAGCGGATTTTTGAGCCAGGAATGGCATATGTAGCTCTCAGTCGCACAACTTCCCTGGAAGGACTTAAAATCATTGATTTCGATGAAAATAAGATCTACGCTGATGAAAATATTAAAGCAGCGATGGAATCAATGAGACCAGCATCGTTTTTGCACACCAGACCACTCTTGCATTTTCAGTCAGGTCATCAGGGTGCAACATTAACTATTGTCCACCACAATGTCGAAGGCCTTGTCTGTCACTCTGAGGACATGAAACAACATCATGAACTCATGTTGGCAGATATCTTATGCCTTACGGAGACTCATTTGTTTGGATCTTCTGTTCCAGCTTCCTGCCAAATGGAGGGCTATTCTTTTTTTTCACGGAATAGACATGTCTCCTACTCGAACAGAGTCGACATTGCCACCAAAGAGGGTGGGGGAGTAGCGACTTACTGCCGGAGTCTTCTCCAAGCGCAGGAACGGAGATTCTTTAATGAGGTTACAGATCTTGAATTTAACGTTGTCAAAGTGGACACCCCAATCAGAGCAGTCATCGCGACAGTTTACAGGCCACCAAGTTATGATCTTGGAACATTTTTAAGAAATCTGCAAAGCCTCTTGGTTGGCCTGAATTCAATGGCTATTCATCCCATTGTCGTATTAGGAGACTTTAATGAGGACCTTATTCCTCCTGGGAAAAAAGCCATCAATCAGTTGTTTAGAGCCAAAGGGTTTATGCAACTTATCTCTGATCCAACCACAGAAAAACGTACTCTGCTTGATCATATTTACATCTCTCATCCAGAATATTGTGTCAAATCAGGTGTCTTGCAGACTTACTACAGCTATCACAATCCTACATACTGTGTGTTGGCTTCAGTATAAGTTGCATCTACAGTGGCTTGCAAAAGGAGTCATGTTCCTTCAAGTTTTCCATATTTCATCACATTACAACCACAACTATGGAAAAACAGCGGAGAGGAGAAGTATTTGTTTATTTTTGCAGGTATATACTAAGTCACATGTGTCAAACTCAAGGCCCGGGGGCCAAATCCGGCCCGCCGTAGCTTTTTATGTGGCCCTCCACAGACTATACTTACACTAAGTGTGATTAAATATTATATTATCAATCATATCAATGCAGTTTTTATCTGTTTACTGCCAATTTATATCAATCAGTCCCTCCAGTTTCTTGAGAATTTAGTTGATGTATGATTATAGTCCATGATTTATACAGCGAGTAAATAAACAGTCGCATTTATTATTAGTTCCTGAAGGGACTGAAAAGAAGTTCAATAATATTATGTAATTTTAAGAATTTATTGACATATTAACAGTTTGTGAACAGGCTTTATCAACACATTCTGGCACAACTGGCCCTTTAAGAGTTTCATAATCTTGATTTGGCCCAAAACAAAAATGAGTTTGACACACCTGTACTAAGTAATACACACTTTTCAGTTTATTTGCAAAAAAAAATCTGTCATATTTTTAAGCCTCCCTGGTAGAGTCTATTCTGGAGTCCTGGAAAGGAGGGTCATCAAGATGCTGGAGAATGCATGGGAGTTCGTCCAAACAATCTACATGTGTTTTATGGACTTTGAGAAGGCATTTCACAGGGTCCCTCTGGGAACTTTGTCGGAGTTCTCCTGGAGTATGGTGTCCTAGTCCTTTGATACGGGCTGTAAGGTTTCTGTGCAACCTTACAGAAACGTGGTCTGCATTATTGGCAGTAAGTCAGGCTCATTTCTGCTTAGAGTTGGATTTTGCCGAGGAAATGAGCCCAACTCTGCTGACAATGCACACCAGTCTCTGACACCAGTCATATAGGGACCTAACAGCCTGTATCAAAGGACACGGGACCCCATACTCCCAGAGAACCCACCCCTTGCTCCCCGAAGGAAACAGTCGAACTTCTTCTCCAAGTCCACAAAACATCTGTAGACCCAACACCTGCATGGGAGTTAGGTGAACTCCCATGCACCCTCCAGGACCCTGCTAAGGCTGTAGAGCTGGTCCAATGTTAGATGACCAGGGCAAAAACCACACTGCTCTTCTCGAATCCGACTTTCGGCTATCTGATGGACGGTCCTCTCCATGAACCCCAAATAGACCTTGAGATGGAGGAATCACCCCCCCCCCCGGTCCTCCTTTTTGAACAAAGGCTGGGAACACTGAATCAAACAGTCTCACTTAATCATAAGGGTTCTACTTCATGGGGCTTTCATATTACATTTGGATGAAATATATTTGTGGTTGCAATGTAACAATATGGAACAGTTCAAGGGGTATGATTACTTTGTAAGCACTGTACATCTTAACCCTGAAATCATGATATGAAATTCTTTTTGGAGAAAATGTTGGAATCTCTAGTCGTTTTTAATGTCATTTCATTTGACTGTTTGCTTTTAATTATGATAGCGTGGATCGTTTTTCTTGATCATTGTTGCAGTGGATTTCATATGTATTTATTCATTGTACACATTTCTGAATTATGGTGTATGCTTGTGGATTTTGTTGTAGGCATAAGAGATTCTTGTACACTTAGTGAATCTTTTCAAAACTTATTTACTTGTAGAAGAGGCTTCATAAACAGGTTTTGTACTTGCACATGAAACTGTTTGAGCTTTGTGAATACGAAAGTGGCTGATCTTGAAACACTTATCGGTTCACTGTCAGAGTAGTTGCTGGAAATGTTGCACCAGGGAGCAGTAGATAAGACAATCAGTTACTATACGTATATTCTGTTCTATTTGAAATTAAAATGATTTGAAATGGGGACCATAAAGTTTTCGCAATTTTTCTAATACAGTTAACATAAATTTTTCCCTTCAAATAAGCCTAAATTTTTTGCGGAACTACGTTTTTATTCTTCACCGTTTGCGTCACTTAATTAAAGCTCTCCTTGTTTCAATCTCTCCTCAGTCACACTGAACTTTTTAATGCTGCAGCCCCCAGTGGCTACATTATCTTCACTTCACAAGCAGGACAAAAGTTTGGCTCACTTTTGTCCTGTTGGACTCCCTCCATCTTGTCAGAATTTGTTTGGTTTTGTGGAATTAACCCTTTGTTTTCCCAGTTTTAGTCTGTTTTTGCAGGGTTTTCCACGTAAAACGATCCTTGGAGGCTGCCAAGAAGACAGAGAGGAAACAAGACCTTGAGGTTTGGCCCATAAGATGTAGAAAATGTATCTAAATTGTAGCAACCTTACAAGTTGTTACATTTTTGTTGTTGGTTTGATAGGAGGAATCCAGTGGATGTGCCCTTTTTTCTTGGGTCATATTGGTATTTATATCTGTTAATCATTCTGAAATCTTTATTTAAACAAAGTTTAAATTTTACAGATGTTTAAAAATGTCATGAATATTAAATTTTTTTTTCTGTTTTTTTACTACAGAGTCTGTGATGTCACATAGACTGGATCCCAAATGAAAGCTTTGGAGCAGCGGTTGTTTTTTCTTCTTTTTTTTCTACAGTTGTAAATAGTTTTTTATGTATGTATATATTTAAAATAGTTTCATGTAAGAATATAGTTTAATATATGTTTCATGTATGTATAATAGTTTGATATTTATGACAAGTTGATCATCGTGGCAAAGCCATGTTTCACTTGTGAGATTAAATCTGTCAGGCCTTACATTGACACTCAGGCAACAACCCTGAGTGCCACACGGCCGGACAGGACACATGTAAATAAAAAAAAGATAGTTTTTATTGCAGAGACATCAAGTTCTGAAATTTATTGTATTCTTTAAATGTTGTAATTTTGGTTCATTGTAATCTTTACCTGTAAAAAGTTTGTAGAAATCTTTAATTTGACTTCAATATATATTTTTAAACTGTGATCTGTTGTGTGTGTGTGGGTTTTTTTATTTAAAATTTTTGTCACTATTATGAACTACATTCATTTGCCTTAAGTGACAATAGTCACTAATGTATACATTTAAAAATATTTTTTTGATTTCAAAGAAAAATGAAAAAAATAAAAAATATATATATTTAACTAATGTTATTATTGAATTTTAATATTAATAGCATTTAGGCTTACATTAGCATTTTGGCTAATTTTAGCTTTTACACTAATTTTAACATGTTAGTCAACATGCTTGTGATTCTCCACATGCTTATTTGTAATGGCTTTAACACAGGCGTTAGCAAAGTTTTTGACTAGCGGGCCAGAATGGGTAATTTGACAGAGAGGCCAGGAGCATTTGGACACGCAATGTAATTTATTAAACCTGGGTATTGAAATGTATGGAAAAACAGACACAATTGAAGGTGCAAATTTAAAAGAAATCAACATTTAGTGGAAATAGATAAATGGAATCACTTTCAAAGTATATATTTCAGAACATATTGTAATGATGCCAACACTGCAGCTGTAGTCCCGTCAAACAGGGTTTATTGGAAGTAAGAATAAGAGCAGCGTAACTGGAAACCGAACGCACAACCATCCTGCTGCTCCCACCCCCACCGTCATGACAGACCAATCACGTGCGAGTGGAAGTCAGCTGAGTCAGAGGAAGTAAATAACGCTACATGTAACAATAAGGAACACATTGTAACTTATAACACATAACCACGTGGAACCAAGCAGAACTAAAACAGAATCGTTTCAATATTATTACCCAATGAAAGAAAGGGATCTTTAAATTGAGAGCGATGTGCGGCATGTTAATTAAGCTACTGCATCGCTAGTGTGCGTAAATGCTAGAGTTGCTTTTTTTTTTTTTCTTAACACACTAGAGAAACTCACATCTCAGTGGGAACAGTGTTGTTCTCCCTTTTTTGCCAGTGCATCAAAGTCTGGAGTTAGTTTTGTTGTGGCAATTCTCAGAACAGATCTGAGGTGTTGGTCAGTTAACCAGGATCTGTGATGAGCTTTGTTGATGTTTATGACGCTGAAAATCTGCTCACATGAAGGTGAGCCAAATAATGCCATCTTCTGCAGCATCCACCGGAGGTTTTGGAAATGTGGCTTAGAAGCATAAAAGTCTTTCAGTTTAAGAGATCTGAACTTCTCTTTTGAGACGGTGTCAGTCTTCAGTCTGACACCTTGCTGTGCAAGCAAGGCAAAGCATTAGCTTTAGCCTTTTACCTTAAATGAAATAGGTAATAGCTATTTCCCTTATTACCTATGCTCAGTAAGTCATGCTTGTGACTATCCACGTGCTATTGATGACATTGCAGGTTTCTTTAGCATGGATGCTAATGTTTAGCATCAGAACGCTTGGTCCAAACGACGGGCACACTTTGGCAGGCCCCGGTTAAATTTCTTCAGGAATTTTCTAGTAGTTCTTTATTTTTCTTCCGTAGACCGGAATGCGGCTCGCACCGCTGCGAGCCCACCCACAAAAGTGGTATCAAAACGTGCGGCTCGATCCCGGCATGGGAGCTATTACTTTTATGGGGAATCGGCATTACGACGGCGACATAAAAAGCGAAAAACGAGCAAAATTTCCAACTGCCGAAACGCAGAGCATAACTGCCACCAACTGCCGCTCCGCTAGAGTGAAAAATGAAGTGGATTTCTGACCCCAAATAAAATTTGAAATCGCCGCCACGCCCACAAATATCGTGCTATCGGTATGAAACTCAGACATGACATCGATACGAATGTCTGCTCCGGTAAAATGTTTTCAAAATTTTTCTAGGGCTTACGGTTTTCTGTCAAGGTGCTTTAGAGCAAAATCAAGTTCCAGCCTAACTGACGCTCTCCACCATATATTTTCATACTTTGATGGAAAATTTCAGACCTCAGCACACACCATTTTTATCTCATCGCTGTAATTACTGTGAATGAGCTACAGATTTGATTTGCAGGACTATCGGAGACAAAAAATAGCTCTCTCATATGCTTCAAACGGTTTTCCGATACGTATCACGGTTTCCGAACGGCAAGGAGTTGTTCGGGCTGCTTTTTCCATTATAACTGACTGAGCTGTCTCACAAAGATAGAAATCTGTCTCTGCCTCACACACATGACAGTTGACCTCTTTAGAACTACAATTCCTGAAGGTTAGAACTACAACATGGCGGAACACTCAGTGCCTACAAAAGAGGTCAGAGCTGATTGTCAGAACTACAACATGGCGGAAATACTGAGGAGGAATGAGCTGGCCTTTAGAATTACATTGTGTTTGGACTTTTTATAACTGATTTTAACCAACCATTGTTACACACAGTATTTGTGTGGAAATTTTAAATTAAGCTGAATGAAAATTTCAAAATAAAACCTTGAATATTTCTCTCAGGCCTGTCAGAAAAACTAACTTCTTCAAGCATTTATAATTAAGTCTCCCCTTGTGTGTCACACTGACATGACAGTTGACCTCCTCTTTACTACAATTCCTGAAGGTTAGAACTACAACATGGCGGAACACTCAGTGCCTACAGAAGAGGTCATAGGTGAATATAAAAACTACAACATGGTGGAACTGTCAGTCACTACTGAGGAGGACTGAGCTGCTCTTTAGAACTACAATGACTGCAGGTTAGAACTACAACATGGCGGAACACTCAGTGCCTACAGAAGAGGTCAGAGCTGATTGTCAGAACTACAACATGGCGGAACTGTCAGTTACTACTGAGGAGGACTGAGCTGCTCTTTAGAACTACAATGACTGCAGGTTAGAACTACAACATGGCGGAACACTCAGTGCCTACAAAAGAGGTCAGAGCTGATTGTCAGAACTACAACATGGTGGAACTGTCAGTTACTACTGAGGAGGACTGAGCTGCTCTTTAGAATTACATTGTGTTTGGGCTTTTTATAACTGATTTTAACCAACCATTGTTACACACAGGATTAGTGTGGCAATTTTAAATTAAGCTTAATAAAAATGTCAAAATAAAAGCCCTGAGATTCTTTTATATCACGTAATTGCTCTCTTGGGCATTATGTGACTTTTTCAACATAACCACTGTTAAACTTTGGATTATTTTGGACATTTAAAATGAAGCTTAATGAAAATTTCAAAATAAAACCTTGAATATTTCTCTCAGGCCTGTCAGAAAAACTAACTTCTTCAAGCATTTAGAATTAAGTCTCTCCTTGTGTGTCACACTGACATGATAGTTGACCTCCTCTTTAGAACTACAATGGCTGCAGCTTAGAACTACAACATGGCGGAACACTCAGTGCCTACAAAAGAGGTCAGAGCTGATTGTCAGAACTACAACATGGCGGAACTGTCAGTTACTACTGAGGAGGAATGAGCTGGCCTTTAGAATTACATTGTGTTTGGGCTTTTTATAACTGATTGTTACACACAATATTTGTGTGGAAACTTTAAATTAAGCTGAATGAAAATTTCAAAATAAAACCTTGAATATTTCTCTCAGGCCTGTCAGAAAAACTAACTTCTTCAAGCATTTATAATTAAGTCTCCCCTTGTGTGTCACACTGACATGACAGTTGACCTCCTCTTAAAACTACAATTCCTGAAGGTTAGAACTACAACATGGCAGAACACTCAGTGCCTACAGAAGAGGTCATAGGTGAATATAAAAACTTCAACATGGTGGAACTGTCAGTTACTACTGAGGAGGACTGAGCTGCTCTTTTGAACTACAATTCCTGAAGGTTAGAACTACAACATGGCGGAACACTCAGTGCCTACAAAAGAGGTCAGAGCTGATTGTCAGAACTACAACATGGCGGAACTGTCAGTTACTACTGAGGAGGACTGAGCTGCTCTTTAGAACTACAATGACTGCAGGTTAGAACTACAACATGGCGGAACACTCAGTGCCTACAAAAGAGGTCAGAGCTGATTGTCAGAACTACAACATGGTGGAACTGTCAGTTACTACTGAGGAGGACTGAGCTGCTCTTTAGAATTACATTGTGTTTGGGCTTTTTATAACTGATTTTAACCAACCATTGTTACACACAGGATTAGTGTGGCAATTTTAAATTAAGCTTAATAAAAATGTCAAAATAAAAGCCCTGAGATTCTTTTATATCACGTAATTGCTCTCTTGGGCATTATGTGACTTTTTCAACATAACCACTGTTAAACTTTGGATTATTTTGGACATTTAAAATGAAGCTTAATGAAAATTTCAAAATAAAACCTTGAATATTTCTCTCAGGCCTGTCAGAAAAACTAACTTCTTCAAGCATTTAGAATTAAGTCTCTCCTTGTGTGTCACACTGACATGATAGTTGACCTCCTCTTTAGAACTACAATGGCTGCAGCTTAGAACTACAACATGGCGGAACACTCAGTGCCTACAAAAGAGGTCAGAGCTGATTGTCAGAACTACAACATGGCGGAACTGTCAGTTACTACTGAGGAGGAATGAGCTGGCCTTTAGAATTACATTGTGTTTGGGCTTTTTATAACTGATTGTTACACACAATATTTGTGTGGAAACTTTAAATTAAGCTGAATGAAAATTTCAAAATAAAACCTTGAATATTTCTCTCAGGCCTGTCAGAAAAACTAACTTCTTCAAGCATTTATAATTAAGTCTCCCCTTGTGTGTCACACTGACATGACAGTTGACCTCCTCTTAAAACTACAATTCCTGAAGGTTAGAACTACAACATGGCAGAACACTCAGTGCCTACAGAAGAGGTCATAGGTGAATATAAAACTTCAACATGGTGGAACTGTCAGTTACTACTGAGGGGGACTGAGCTGCTCTTTTGAACTACAATTCCTGAAGGTTAGAACTACAACATGGCGGAACACTCAGTGCCTACAAAAGAGGTTAGAGCTGATTGTCAGAACTACAACATGGTGGAACTGTCAGTTACTACTGATGAGTAATCAG